TGCCATACCAACTGTATCCCAGGTCTCACTCTGGAAACATATGCTGAATAGTTTGATCATATTTCACACTTCAAAAAAAAAATCTTTTTAGTGAACATACAGTAAAAGCTGGAAGAAATCTGATTCTGACTTTTGCAGAAACAAAAGAACTCGCTGGTTAGACAATATAACACAGCTTGACATGGTAAGAATATTATAAAAACAACTGGCTGAAACCAAATCCATAAAAAACAAGGGTCTATGCCTTCTGTTTAAAGAACAGAAAGTAAGAGAGGAAGCTTCAAGTTAGCTGGGTATATCCCCCTACCCCAAGGTCGCTCTGGATGGAACCCTGGCCTACAAACAAAAAAAAAATTAAATTAAAAAAATTAAAATTAAAAAAATGTCTAAGCAGAAAGTTGCCATCAGAAATATACTTGGGAAGTTGGCTGGGTCAGACTGAGGTGCACATCCACAAATAATAAGAACTAAATAATTGTCCCAGTGCTACCTCAAAGAAAAATATGCTAATATCAAACAAATGGATGTAGCTCTTAATGAATCATGCAGGATTATTACTTACTGCCTGAAACCTACTCCCAATGAAAAAGTCTATTTGGCTGCAGAGTAGATTGGAGTTAATATAAATAAACAATAATTAAATTTTTTAAAAACCCACATATTTTTTTGACAATTTAAATTGATCTTTTTTTAAAAAAAGCATTGATTTTTATTTACCCTGTTTGGCTGGCATTGCCCCTCCAGAAGAACGCCAAGAGGTCCTCGAAAATAATGAATGAAATAAAGTAACAGAGCATCAAACCCATCTACTTCATGGATATCAATCCCCTAGATCAGAGGTCCCCAACACACAGTCTGCGGCCCAGTGCCAGTCTGTGGCCTGAGCTGGACCTGGCCGTGGAGACAGACCTCCCCCCCCACATGCACCACCCATTGCAAATGCACACAAGCACCCCCTGAGAGACCCCGCTCCTTTGCACATGCTCACAAGCGCTCCTTCACACGTGCACAAGCACAGGGGGTGCCCTGCCTTCCCCAGCCGGTCTGCAGGGCTAAAAAGGTTGGGGACTGCTGCCTTAAATGATAAGTTAAAATTGAGGAAAGGTGTTCTGCAAACATCTCAAGTTCTAAATATTAAACCAGAAGAGGCTAAGCTAAACCCAAGGACAACAAAAACAACACACCTTGCCAAATGAAGGAATGCTGAAGAATGTCTCCCCCCCAGGACAAGAGGAAGTTACTTAATAGACTTTGAAACAAAGTAGGAAGACCAAAAAATAATAAAGTAAAATGGGGCTACAGTACAGTGGTGCCTCGCACAACGGGTGCCTCACACAACGATGAATTCACACAACGATGCCTTTTTCTGTTAAATTTGCCGCCTCACACAGCGATGTTTCCTATGGGGGATTTTCACACAACGATCTCCCTTTTCGCTCCTGTAAAAGTGTCTTACAATGTTTGGAAGCCGTTTTAAATGGTTGCAATGGTTAGCCCACCTCCTGAAACCTAAGCAAACTGATTTTGGTGTTGTTCTGACACTTCGTTAATTTATGATGTTTTTTTGTTTTCTCCATTGGAAACCATTAGGCAGACCATCCAATGGTTTTCAATGGAGAAAACAAAAAATCATCATAAATTAACGAAGTGTCAGAACAACACCAAAATCAGTTTGCATAGGTTTCAGGAGGTGGGCTAACCATTGCAATCATTTAAAACAGCTTCCAAACATTGTAAGACACTTTTACAGGAGCGAAAAGGGATATCGGTGTGTGAAAATCCCCCATAGGAAACATCGCTGTGTGAGGCGGCAAATTTAACAGAAAAAGGCATCGTTGTGTGAATTCATCGTTGTGTGAGGCACCCGTTGTGCGAGGCACCACTGTACTTGGATACAGGACATATTTCCTGTGACTGTGGAGATATTCAATCAATGCACCACTCATGTGCATGCAATTTATGCCCAACAGGCAAGAAAGAAGATTTATCTAATGGATTCCAGAATGAAATAAAACTGTTGGTTTTTATTTATTTATTTATTTATTTATTTATTTGTTGTATTTATACCCCGCCTATCTAGTCATTTCGACCACTCTAGGCGGCTTACAACATAAAGATAACAAGTTCTAAAAAAAATTTATAACAATTAATTAATTAAATGATTCTATAAGATGGGAAAAATAAAAATAAATCAAATAAAGAGGGGGGGAAGGAAAGAGGACAGGAATTAACTGGAAGGGAAGGCCTGCCTATACATCCATGTTTTTAGTT